CCCCGGGTTGAACTCTGAACTCTGACCTTTGTTCCGGTCCTGGGTCCCGGCCTTGGAGGACCCGAGCGCCACCAGCCAGCGCTGCCGCTCCGCCGCGTTCACGGCGCGGACGTAGAAGTGCTGCTCGCCCGGGATGATGAGCTCCAGCCGGGTGGAGTCAGAGGGGGGGACTGAGAGGGAAACCAAACGGGCTTATATATATATTATATACATCTATATATATATATATATATATATATATATATAGATATCTAGATGTATATGTATATATATATATGATGTATATATATATATCCATCCATCCATCCATTATCAATACCGCTTATTCCCTCATGGGGTTGGGGGGGCGGAGCCTATCCCACAGAAAAGGAAAACGGGTCTTTGTTCCCAACCATCCATCCATTATCGTTAGCGCTTATTCCCTAACTGGGTCTAGGGGGGGCGGAGCCTATCCCAGTAGCCAATGGGGAGAGGCGGGGTTCCCCTGGACAGTCCGCCAGTCCATCACAGGGACACACAGAGACAAACAACCACTCACATTCACTCCTAAGGCCAATCTCCAATCAGCCTAACATGAAGGTTTTTGGACTGTGGGAGGAAGCCGGAGAACCCGGAGAGAACCCACAGACACAGGAGAACATGCAGACTCCACCCAGAAAGGTCCTGGTTCCCCCGGGGACTCCAACCCAGAACCCTCTGGTCCTGGTTCCCCCGGGGACTCCAACCCAGAACCCTCTGGTCCTGGTTCCCCCGGGACTCCAACCCAGAACCCTCTTGCTGGGAGGCGACAGTGCTAACCACCACACCACCGTGCCGCCTACATATATATATATCATATGAATATAATGACAATCTGGGGTTTTAACATCAGACCGCAGGAAGCCAAGGATGGATATCAAACCCAGCCCACGTCCAGGTCGGCCATTTTGATTAGGTCACCAATAGGAAGATCCCAGGCAAGAAAGTCGTGATTGCTTCATGACAATAGAGACATTAATTTAAAAATAGTGAAATTAATCTGGAAAATGCTTAATTAAACTCTATACATAATATTATGTTAAAATAGTGGATGTTAAATAGGTTTGTACAATAAGTCCAAACAAGTTTAACCAAAAAATATTTATTTCTCACAATTATGAAGGGTGGAGGGTTAGGGTTAGGTTTAGGGTAAGGATAGGGTTAGGGTTAGGTTAGGTTCAGGGTTAGGGTTAGGTTTAGGTTTAGGGTTAGGTTTAGGGTCAGGGTTAGGGTCAGGGTCTGGCTCAGGTTTATAGTCATGGGTTAAGTTTAGGATCAAGTTTAGGGGTCAGGGTTAGTTTTAGGGTCATCGTTAGGGTCAGGGTTAGGTTCAGGGTTAAGGTTAGGGTTAGGGTCAGGTTTAGGACATCATTTATCTTCCGATTTCGTATAGACAGTAAACTTTCATTTCCACCTCAGAAAGCTGCTGACCTAATCAAAATGGCCGACTTGGACGTGGGAGGATCTGGATAACCATCCTTGGCTTCCTGCAAACTGATTTTATGGTGGCCCACATTAATAACCCTAACCCTAACCCTAACCCTGACCCTAACCCTAACCCTAACCCTCCACCCTTCATAATTGTGAGAAATAAACATTTTTTGGTTTCGGTTCAGAGTCAGGTTTAGGGTCAGAGTTAGGGTTAGGGGTTAGGATCAGGGTCAGGGTTAGGGGTCAGGGTTAGGTTTAGGTTTAGAGTCAGGGTTAGGTTTAGGGTTATGACATCGTTTATCTTCCGATTTCATATAGACGGTAAACTTTCATCTCCACCTCAGAAAGCTGCTAGTCACGTGACCTAATCAAAATGGCCGACTTGGACTTCAGTTCCTTAACGAACTAGAGCGCGCGTCCCAAACCTTTGATGTCGCAGACGGACATCTTGATGGATCCTTTGCTGCCTTTTCCCACGTCGTCCTCACTGTCGTAGTACGAAATCACGCCGTTCTGCAGAACGAACCAGCGCGGCTGCCAGCCTGCCAAAAACACCCAGATCTAGCACAGAAACCACCACAGGGACGCTAGGGGGGGGGGGTGGGGGTGGGGGTGGGGGGGGGGGGTACACTCGGCTAAAGGTCGTAGGTCATGTAGGGGAAAAAGCCAAACAAAAGTTGTGAATTTTGGTTAGTTTAGGAAGAAAAAGCTTCTTCTGTGGAGTTGCCGTAAAAAATTCTAAATATATCATGTTTGTTTTTAATACATATATATATGGTTTGTTTGTTTTTAGGATATACTAATATGTTTTTATGTTTTTGCTGCTTGTTTGTAGGGTTGTCACGATACTAAAATTACAGATACTCAGGAAAATATTCAATAAAATTTTCAATATCACAAGAATAAAAACAAAGACCCCAAAATTTAACTGAATTTTGACAGGTTAGTGTCTTTGGTTTCAAACTGACCTGTTACTGATGTTATGTTGGCCCACATTAATGACCCTAACCCTAACCCTAACCCTAACTCTAACCCTAATCCTTTTGTACATCTTTCTACAGATACAGCAGCTGAATGGATAGTTTTGTTGTCTTTTTTTTTCCTCTATTCCTGTTTTAGGGATCTCTCTTCGACGTTCTCCAGCACAAAACCAGCCAAAAACAGCCAGCTCTAACACAGAAACCACCACAGGGACGCTGGGGGGGGGGGGGGGTTGGGGGTGGGGTTGGGGTGGGGGGGGGGGTAAACTCGGCTAAAGGTCGTAGGTCATGTAGGAAAAAAAAGCCAAACAAAAGTTGTGAATTTGGTCAGTTTAGGGGGAAAACTTCTTTGAGCTTCTGTGGAGTTGGCAAACAAAATTAAAAATATATCCTGTTTGTTTTTAATATATACAGTGGGGGAAATAAGTATTTGACCCCTTGCTGATTTTGCAGGTTTGCCCACTTACAAAGAATGC